TTTTCATTCTTAGGAATGTCTAAATTCATTTAAACTAGCAATTCCGTATTATATTTATAAATCTTTATAACATTATACAAAAATTAGATTTTTCTTAAAAACTGAAATTTTGCCGGGAATGGGGCTTTAAGTTTATTGAGAAAGATGTGAAAAGAGTCAACAAGAAGAGTTTTTGAGATCTTCAGGGTAATCATCCCAAAGTCTGGGGAATTCATGAATAGCTGATAGGTGAAGGTAATTGGTTCTTGCACGAAGGTGTTTAAAACACAATACCTCTTGGTGATGGATATTTTCAACACATTCAATCACCCTTAACAATCTCAACTTCGTATCTTTCTCAATAGGAAGCAGAACAGCTTGTAGATCAAAAGATCCATCCGCAAACCATTATAGCAGGATGGAGGAAGGCTGCAGATGAAGCTAGGAGGGTGTTGACAGAGGCGGCACAAGACCATGGGTCTGTATTTGTTTTGATAGATTGTTATTAGCTTCCTACCTCTATCTTTTGGTTATATCTTTCGGTTTGTGCCTAAATATCTGTGATTTGCTGAAATATCGGCAGTATGATGAAGTATAGGCCCATTGTTCATTTCTTGATGCAAGCCCTTCATATTATACATTGCTTCTCTCCAATCAAGTATTACATGGTTTATCTGTAGACTGTATATATCCATGCAAAAAGATTGTGAAAACAGGTGTTGGTGGTTATTTGTTAGTGTCCATTGTCCAATATACGGTATATTGATTATTGATTGTTGGTACTAATAGAATTTTTTTTAAATCAGTGTTTGTAAAAAAATTTTTTTTGTAGCAATGACCCTGAGAAATTTAAAATAGATCTGATGAATATTGCAAGGACGACACTTAGCTCAAAGTTGGTGTGGCAGGATAGAGATTTCTTCTCCCAGCTGGCAGTTGATGCAGTGCTGAGGCTGAAGGGAAAGACTGATCTTCAAGCTATTCAAATTATTAAGAAGCTAGGGGGTAATATGACAGATTCCTACCTGGATGAGGGGTTCTTGTTAGACAAGAAGGTTGGTGTGAATCAACCAAAGAGGATGGAAAATGCCAGAGTGCTGATTGCTAATACTTCAATGGATGCTGATAAAATTAAGGTGAGTACTTTACTGGTATCATCAACTGTGTAGACGTGTGTCCTGAGTGCTTAACAAAAAGTCTGTCTTGCCATTTTCTTGTAAAATGTTACTGTTAACAGGAGACTGTCCATTGAAGCGCCTTTGCAATCTTCTGTTGTTTATAGGTATTTGGTTCACGTGTGAGAGTTGACTCAACGGCAAAGGTAGCTGAAATTGAGCTTGCGGAGAAGGAGAAGATGAAGGAGAAGGTACAAAAGATACTGAAACATGATATCACCTGCTTCATCAACAGGTAAGTTTCTCCTCCTTCTCCTCCACTTTCTTTAGGCTGCTCAAGCTCAGTCCTGAGCACTGTGGCACTCAGTGTAGGAAGCTTAGTGTCTGATATAGTGCATCATATCTTATTCTACTTAATTGTAGTATTTTCATAATAATTTTTGTTCATATGATTATCAAAATTATTATATGCTGTAATGCAATAATGCTAATATAGACTATTTTTGCTTATTTAATTCATTTGGAATACTCTCACATGTTATATGAAAGATTCTGTTTGGAAAAATGATAAACCGATAATCTGCAACCATTTTATATAATGTTAAAGTAAGATAATACTGAATAGTACTAGGCAATAAAAGTGAATATATTCTCATTAGTATTATATAAATACAATTCAGTTTATTGGTATTACTGTTAATACTTTTATTTAATGATTTTTAGGCAGTTGATCTACAACTATCCTGAGCAGTTGTTTGCTGATGCTGGTGTTATGGCTATTGAGCATGCAGACTTTGAAGGGGTTGAAAGACTTGCACTTGTTTTAGGTGGAGAGATTGTCTCAACATTTGACAACCCAGAAAAAGTTAGGATTGGCCAATGTGACTTGATTGAGGAGATTATGATCGGTAAGTACATTGGTTGTCCTCTTCCCTCCTTATGTCAATTAAAACCTCTTTCATGAGTATGATTGCATTCTTTGGTTGTGATGGTCGATTTATCAGTCAATTGGCTATTTATAAGGCAAAAGTGTTGTGAGATGATGCTTGCAGAAACCAAAAAAAAAACAGTGTTTAAGACTCTCAGTTTAATAAACTCAACTGATCCACTTGTTGTGTCATTGTTATTTTCTGCACTTTGTTTGTCTGTAGAAGTAAACTGGTTGTTATCTATGAGCAAACAAGTTTATTTTTATTAAATTTATCTGTCTTTTCTTGCTCTTTTGTAGGTGAAGACAAGTTGATTAAGTTTTCAGGTGTCAAACTAGGTGAAGCTTGCACGATTGTAATCCGTGGGGCTACTCAACAAATTCTTGATGAAGTAGACCGGTCTTTACATGATGCTTTGTGCGTACTCTCACAGACTGTCAAGGAGACTAAGATAGTCTATGGCGGTGGTAAGTTAAAATTTATATCATAATGTACTTCAGTGTAAATAAACAGCACCCACAAGAATGTAATTGTACTCTCCATGTATACCTGACATTAAGAACTGATTTCGATTTATATATGACATTGCCTTCTTGACCCCAAATTTGCAAGTTAAAGTTGCATCTTGAATAATTGTTTTATATTTGTCTTATCTAAATATTGTTTCTGTTCTTTGGAGCAAATACAAATTGTTACATAAACTTGAATTTTATATTAAAATCTTTTAATGTCCTTGTGGAGTAAATGATATAATGAGTGGTATTGCTATATAATAATACAAATACATCTGCCCATATTCTCAACAGGCTGTTCTGAAATGTTGATGGCCAATGCTGTGATGAACCTAGCCTCTCAGACACCCGGCAAAGAAGCTGTTGCAATGGAAGCCTTCGCAAGAGCTCTTCAGCAGGTCAGTTGCTAAGGACAACAATTTCGAATTTATAATGAATATTCTTTAGGGTTCAGTCCAACCAAATGAGTATTTGGTTCTTTTTGAGAGATACATTTATAGGAATCTAAATTCTGTGGATAGTTTTGGATATGGTGTGTAATAATAATCTGTCATTTATAGTGCTATTTCAACCAGAAAGCAGTGTTTTGCAGTTGGTAATATCAACTGGCTACCTATCATGGCTCATATTCACTTTAAATTCCTTCTGATTATGTTCAGAATATACATCATCACATCGCTCCAAGTTAACTCAATGATCTGGTTCAACGCCACTTACCTGTTCGCACTTTTCGTTCATAAAATTGTTTAGCCTACCAACAACCTGCAACAAAACATAATGTGACAGAAGCTTTTCCTCAATCGGGTCGATCCTCTGCAATATGCTTTCATTGGAAATACAAGACTCGCCAAATATTGACTGCCCTAAAGACTTACCTAGATCATTCATACAATATATATATTGGCTTACATTTTCATCAACAGGCATCATTCATTGCTTTGAGGATATTTTTTGCATTAGGTGCTTTATAAAATTATTATTATTATTATTATTATTATTATTATTATTATTATTATTATTATTATTATGTTACTAAAACCTGGAGAAATTAGAGAATAATTGAAGAAACGACGTTAAGGGGAAAATAACACAAAGGATATTCCCCTTAAGTCCGACGCACATTATTATTGTTATTATTATTATTGTTGTTATTATTATTATTATTATTGTTATTATTATTATTATTATTTTCATTATTTTCAGCTTCCAAAGATCATTGCTGATAATGCTGGCTATGACAGTGCTGAGTTAGTGGCCCAATTGAGAGCAGCACACACACAAGGAAAATCAACAACAGGATTAGGTATATATTGTTGTTTACTCATTTAAAAGTAAAATAAATGTTTATGATTAATAATGATAAAGATGATAGGGTGGCATATTTTAAGCTAACTTAACTGTGGGAAACACTGCGACTTACTTTGTTATTCATTATTATTGTAATTTTAAATTCTGGGCTGTTTATTTGCTGTGTAAAGGGCTTGAGGCTGTTGCAATGAAGCAGATTTGGTATCAAAGTTTATACTTTAATTAACAGATATGAAAATTGGAGAAATTGGAGATATGATTGAGCTGGGAATCACAGAATCATTTCTTGTGAAACGTCAAATCTTGATCAGTGCTTCCGAGGCGGCTGAGATGATACTTAGGGTTGATGACATCATTAAATCGGCACCAAGGTAAAAAGCTGTGGTTGTGTTTACATTTTCTAAGTAGATGGCTCTATTTTTTAATGTACATGAGTTTATAAATATAACAGTCAATCTTTGTTGTTAATAATATATTATAATAATATATCTTTTATTTGAAAAAGTCACAATAAAAACACAATACACCTGCATGTATATACATTTGTCAGACAGAAATCAATTTACAAAAGTCAAAAAGGTAAAATATAGAAAAGAATGGATTGCAATGGAGGAACAATGGTTTATTGCTGCTTGTTGTGAATTTTAATAAAGAATGAAATTATACTCTTAAATAGCCTATATGTTTTAGCTTTAAGCTCTGAGATATGATGAGCATTACATAAGCTTCTTCCATGAAATGCAAGTCTGGTGGGTACTAAAATATTAAAATGCATAGATGTGGTAAGAATTTGAGAAAATTTGCAACAGTGTTCCTCCCTTTGTCGGCAAGAGTGACAAGATTACATCTATTTAAGGTGTAATTATAGTTGTTAAATGATGCGCAAGGTATGGTGCGACACGCCTTTTTTGGACAGACTCCATCATAGCACTGAGTTGCATTGTAAGGCCTGGATGCCAGACAACATCGACATATTCGAATATGGGTCTCGCATATCCGCAATAAATCCTTACAAGCTCATCAGCCTCCCAACCAAAATGTTTTTCGGGACCCAGTTAGGCCTAGCCCTGGACGGCTGAGGGTAGGGGTTGCCGAATTACAAGCCTATTGTAGCCTTATGTACGCATACCATAAATTTCAGACATTTAAACTGCAATATATGTGTTTATGTATCTTACCTTTCAAAGAAATTGCCAAAGTAAAAGTTTATATATTTTTAAATATTATACATCCAGTACTGCCACAAAAATATCCGCTTGTCTTGTGTGTGGAAGTTGCCCGTTTGCAGTTCGAACAACCTTATTTGCATATCAATGAAACACAAGGCATCACAAACTAGAGAACAATAGAATCTAGTCGCGTTTCCAATCTCCTTGTATAGTTGTCTCAGGTTTAATAGACTAAACAGAAACAACACAGAATATGATAAACTAAATAACATTATCATCCCATAATATACTTCAGCACTACCAAATCATCAACACTGTTATTGAACTACTAGCATCATTTTTGTCATGACCATTGCTATGCTGTATTTTTAAATTTTGCGATCGAAAATCAAATCATTACCAACCTTGTTTTCTTCTGGTTTATTTCAGGCAAAGAGGTTCTGATCAGTGCCATTGATTACTGTGATACTACAGTATATATGTAACCATTAGAATGTGGAGACTCCTAGCTGCTATTTCAGAAGCATTAGTTGCCATGTCAGCCTTGTCTAAATGTCTTGAAAATTTAAAGTCTTCTACGTGTAATAATTGACTGTAAAGCACTTCATGGAAGTACAATAACATAAAAATTATAATCATACACCTGCATTGTTAATCATTCCAGGTGTTGAATTGACCAGATATGGCGGAAGCATAAAAAAATAACCAAAAAAACTATGTCTTTGTGGTGCTTGGTAATGTGCAAAAATTAGAATTGCATATTAGTTTCTTGTCATCCTTATGAACTGTTGTCAAATTAACTTTACTGTATTTAAATTTACCAGGACATTTATTGACCAAATGTTAACTTAAAGTGTTCTTTAAATTTATGACATTCAGAGAATCTTCTCTAGGTTTCTTTAAATAAAAATGCTTTTAACACAGAGCATCTATGTATAATGCAAGCTGGTGATGATTTGCTTACATGCTACGAACTCTAGGGGTCATTGAATTCAGCACACTGTTCAATACTATGTTAATTTATATACGAGGTACCTACTCTATGTATTATTCTGTTGTCTTAAGCTACGTTCCCACTAAAGTCCAGATCAGGTCCGGTGTCTGGACCGGATACCGGATAAATCTCTGATTGACAAAAAATCGTGGTAAAGAATAGGATGATTCACATCAAATTTGTACGATTTCCAATCTGGGATCCAGAGAGCCATTTATATCGTAAAATTGTAATTTTTTCCCCGTTAAACCAGTCAGCAACAATCTTGTTTGGTTCGAACGCAGTGTTAAAAAAATGTAACTACTCAGATTTTTTGTCTGAGCTTCATGTGAAAGTAACTTTATTTTTAGGTACTGTAATTGTATCAAGCATTAACTTGGAAATAAAAATTAGAAATTTTTTTTATACTTTAGTGTGTGTTTCCTGCCAAGTGGATGGCAGGTAGCTATAAATGCTGTTATCGAGTAGCATGTTTTTGTACTGTGTGATTCTGTTAGCAATTTATAGGTTACGTTGATAGTGCGCAGAATAAAAAAAAAAAGGCTAAATGGATAAGTTAAGTTGTCTGGCTTGATACATTGTTGCTGTTTGATTACTGTAGAGCATGAGTGGGCATAAAAATCGGTCGGAGGGCCAAGGTGAATTTTTGATTTAACAAGGGTCGCACACATAGGGTTTTTAATTTGTTCATGGGCCGCACTTTGCCCACCTGTGCTGTATGTTCATATAGTGTTAATGGAGTGCTATAAGACAGATTTTGTCTGACAAAATTGTTGGAAGCTAAAGGTTTACTTTTGTCAGTGATCGATATGTTATGACAACCATGACATCAACAAAATAAAACCATAAATGATACTTTTAAAAGTTCTTTATTCGGTCAGTGCTTGATACAATACCGAGGCTGTCTAATAATACAGGTAATTCTTTAAAATTTCACATCCAACGGAACTCCAAATTACATTTATAAGGCTTGGAGCTGTTTTTAATTATCAGACAATTCAGCTCCACAATATATATGGTGGATTTGTGATTAAGGGTTAGATCCAGGATTTTAATGAGGGAGGGGGTAACATACGGCAGTTTACGAACCTAGGGAAATTGGACAGTCAATAAATAATACTGTAGTGAAATATACTAGTCTACCCAGTAGTAGCGCTTCAGAGCCTATTTGAGATTTATTTCCACAGCATGCTTCTTTACCTGAAGCTTGTGTTAATAAATTTCTTGTGCTACTTTCACTTTACTGTCTTATAATTTTAATCACAAAAAAATAATGTGAATGAAATATTATACCATTTCTATGAATTTGTTATTTCTCTTACTTATACATACACAACTTTTGAGAAATTCATTCACTCATAATCCAAAGTATTCTCCAGTTCAAATGTCATACAGGCTATGTTTAAAGATTACTTCATACAAATACAATTAAACAATTGCCTAATTATATTTTTTTATATACTTTATATATCCAATATGTGCTCAGTTGTGACAAGATTTTATTTTTTTCCAAATTCATCTATAAAATGTAGGTTCCCAGTCAAAAAAGTGCATGGTCTTGTCCAATATATCTGAAAGGATGATAAACATAAAAAATAATAAATTAGTTCAAATACAATTAAACAATTACCTAATTATATATTTTTATATACTTTATATATCCAATATGTGCTCAGTTGTGACATGATTTTATTTTTTCCACGTTCATCTATAAAAAAATGTAGGTTCCCAGTCAAAAAAGTGCATGGTCTTGTCCAATATATCTGGAAGGATGATAAACATAGAAAAAATAATAAAATCAACATTAATCTTAAGATAACAGTGTTTTTGTTTTACACTTGTAATCCCCTCAAGAGCATTAAGAGATATTTAAATCTTGTAGTCTCTTTATTGATTTAAAACAAATGGTTCTATCTAAATAAATAAAAGCAGGCATATTACAAGGTAAATCCTGCAATTTTTATTCTTATTTTGTGTATATACCTTGATGTTTGGTTATGCTATACATATATTCCAACCCATAATAAGAGAAAGAGTACACCAAATCCCATAAACAAACTGGCAACCAGTGACACTAGCAGTTCCTTGTAAAGATCACGAGTATATTTTGTTGATGTGACTTCATATCTGTTTGGTAGGTAGGTCAAGGATTCTATTCATACAAATTACAAACACACTTATCAAACAATAGCACAAATATATAGTAATATTAGTGATCAGTTATATTTAACAAGTAATTCAAAGATTCAAATTATTTAAGCATAATATTAGAAAATTGTTGGTGGTGTTACAGTAAATTTACAAATATTGTAATCAACAATTTAACTGTGTATCTTTTTTAGACCAATTTTAGTTCATTCATTGTTATACTACTACCAGTAATTGTTACTGCATAAATGAAGGATACACAAAGAACCATGCTGTAAAGAAAATTCCAATGGCAAGCAGAGTGATGGTGAGATACGGGTAGATAGTTGGATTCACTGGACTAACATACCTTGTCATCGACTCAATGGAGGCCTGTCAAGACAAAACATTGAACAATTCAAGAACTTAACATTATCAATAATACCTATCAGATTACTAAGCAAGACTGATTTATTTTATTGAGATAATCATTAAAACATAAATGCAAGAACAACATATAATAAATTACATTACAAAAACCCATGGTTAAACTATGTCACATTTGGAAATACACACAGGCAATATTAGCCACTGTGCAGTCTGAAAAGTACATACAACTTTTCAACAATACCTCGAGTTTTTTTTTTTTTAAATAGGGACCACTGCTCTTGTTTGTTCCGGCCATCTGTCGGCGTGGCATAGGTCTAATATTTTTTTATCCGACTACCCGACTACCTCTGCCGGGTGGGTGATTGACCTGTCCGATGGAATCAT